ATGCGGTCTCTCTTCGGTCCGCGCTGGTCTCTGCGCACCGGTCTCTCCAGTCTATGCGGTCTCTCCTATAGGTCCGCGCTGGTTTCTGTGTGCTGGTCACTCCAGTCTCTCCTCGGGTCTGCATTGGTCTCAGCGCTGGTCCGCGCTGGATCTCCTCCCAGGGTCCAAAATATTTTGAGATTAATCTCAAAACATTTTGAGATTCATCTTTAAAATAATACATAATATATTTTTAAATTAAGCTCATAACATTTTGAGATTAATCTCATCATATTCTTAGATTAATCTCATAATTTTGCTAGTTCGACTTTATTATCATAATATTTTGACTTTTAAGTCAACATTTTATAACTTTATTCTCAGTCTGGTAAAAGAAGAAAAAAGGGTGACTCTTTTGCTCCGCGTTTGCTTTAGGCCTGTTGCTGTTTCCTCTGCCGTCTGCACACGGCCCTGCAGTCCCTTATATGGGCATTAATGGGCGGTTACTTATGCTAAGTACCTATGCTAATGAAGCACCTGGCACACGCGCTGTACTTACGAGGAAATGGGATTCATCAATCTGAGAGAACAGCTGCGAACAATTCAGCGCCTTACGAGTGCGTTGATGAATCCCACGTGGGGACTTCTTAGAAATCTACTTAAGGACAACTTGAGGAGAAAGTTGAGTAGTTTCTTACGAAGTTATTCGTGAATGAGGCCCAATAGTACTTTAGTAACTTGAGGTCACAGCAGCAGGTGGTGTCTGCAGAGTCTGCTCTGGTTCAGAGTGAAATTCTGAATGCTTCATAGGCCTTTTTCAATACACGGGCTACTTAGCATTTCAAAACGTGTAAACATTGATGGTTTGGGATCTGCTGGAAAAAAAAAACACATAGCCTAACCATATAGCCCTAAATCACAACAGTAGTTATTTCATTGGTTCATAAAAAGCAGAGACTTGTCCATAAACGCACATAAATAACACACACTTGTTTAGATTCACCACTATTGTTTTAAAAATTTAGATTCGGTATTGATTTTTTTATTTAGCGACATTGGGCCTCATTCACGAACGGTTCTTAGGAACAGATTTGTACGTAAATCCTACTTACGAGGTTTTTACGAAGAAAGTGGCATTCACGAATTTTTCTCGTAACCAGAATTTCTCTTGGGCAAGTACAAATCCTACGAGTCCTCAGGAGCACTCGTACGCATTCAGTGCCGACATGTTCACACGCCGGGGTTGTCCTCTTTGGTGAAGTTGAATAAAAATACAACATTCCAGTGATATGTCCGTCATATCGATGTATGTATTTATTTATTTGTAGTAATCTTTATTAGTAATCTTTATTTATATACCGCCTTTTTCACTGCAGATCTGGCCTACTTTTTAATTCATTTTGAAATGAAATGTGCCAACGCTTTATCAAATACATTGGAAATCTTGCCGTGTATTAGTGACCCCTTCCTATTTATAGGGGGCATTTCTTTATCCACGGGCCACAGAACAACGGCATATATACTGCTGCTGCAGGAGGTTACTGGGTCCGCGCTGAGTCTCTGCGCTGGTCTCTCCCATGGATCTATACGGGTCTGCACTGGTCTCTCCCATATACGGGTCTGCACTGGTCTCCTCTCCATACGGGTCCGTGCTGCATGCTCCTGGATCCATACGGGTCCGCGCTGGTCTCTCAAGTCTGGTCTATGCGGTCTCTCTTCGGTCCGCGCTGGTCTCTGCGCACCGGTCTCTCCAGTCAGGTCACTCCAGTCTATGCGGTCTCTCCTATAGGTCCGCGCTGGTTTCTGTGTGCTGGTCACTCCAGTCTCTCCTCGGGTCTGCATTGGTCTCAGCGCTGGTCCGCGCTGGATCTCCTCCCAGGGTCCAAAATATTTTGAGATTAATCTCAAAACATTTTGAGATTCATCTTTAAAATAATACATAATATATTTTTAAATTAAGCTCATAACATTTTGAGATTAATCTCATCATATTCTTAGATTAATCTCATAATTTTGCTAGTTCGACTTTATTCTCATAATATTTCGACTTTTAAGTCAACATTTTATAACTTTATTCTCAGTCTGGCAAAAGAAGAAAAAAGGGTGACTCTTTTGCTCCGTGTAACTCTTTGCTTTAGGCCTGTTGCTGTTTCCTCTGCTGTCTGCACACGGCCCTGCAGTCCCTTATATGGGCATTAATGGGCGGTTACTTATGCTAAGTACCTATGCTAATGAAGCACCTGGCACGACTACTTACGAGGAAATGGGATTCATCAATCTGAGAGAACAGCTGCGAACAATTCAGCGGCTTACGAGTGCGTTGATGAATCCCACGTAGGGACTTCTTAGAAATCTACTTAAGGACAACTTGAGGAGAAATTTGAGACGTTTCTTACGAAGTTATTCGTGAATGAGGCCCATTGATTTTCTAAGCTCTCTTCACACAGCAGTAACCGCTCGAGAGGCTCCGATCCCACTGGACTTTATGTAAAACCCAATCCAGTCCAGACCCAGTCCTCCGTGGTTCAAGACCGAGGCAAATCCCAGCAGAGGTTTGACTGTAGATGTTATTATGAGCCTGTGGTACAAAGAGTTAGAGAAATACTTACACAGAGGAGAAGAAAGAAAGCTTCCCCTGAGTTTGAAGTGTTGCTCAGAGCATTAAATAGGAAAGGCAAGTTTATTTGTAAAGCGCAGTTTATACACAGGGCAAGTCAAAGTGCTGAACAAATCTAAAATAATCACAGAATAAAAAATATACAGTGCTTCAGTTAGTTACAGATAAACAGTTTTTGACCTGGATTTGAACAATGTCAGAGAAGAAGTCTGTTCCAGATTTTAGGTGCATGAATCGAATCAACCCAAAGATATACATTCATACACATTTACAAACATTATAAAACTCCAATAAAAGTACTTATATGTGACTTTGATACAGGCTCTACTCGTCCAGGAACCGACGTTTATGCCCCCGGTGACAAGTCATGGGAATGATACAACACCCACTGTGATATGGTGCTGTATGTAATTAATGTATATAAATGTAAATATGTAAATAACGCAATTTCCCTTGAGAAATTGCCAAAAACGTCCCCTGATATTGAATGTTATTAAAGCTAATTTGACTTTACAGTTGTGGATTATCTGCACATTCATCAGATGTTTACGGAGTGTGTTTTTCACCGAATTCAGAATGTGTCCGAGAACGACTAAATCTGTTGCCAACATTTATTTAGTGGAAAATACAAAACTATCTACAGCTCATTTCAAAGAGAAAGTCGCTCATTAAAAAGAGACAAGACTGAAACACATGAAAAACGTCCCTGGTCGACCTTCTCCAGCAGAAAAAACTATACATTATTCATAAAAGTTTATTTCTCAGCAGCAACTCTAGAAAACAGGATTGGACCGGGTCAAACATTTCTATTTTTTCATTTCTTTTTGAGTCATGGCACCGTCCTGGGAACAAGGAGCGGCCAGAGCTGACAAAACGTTTGTCTTTACCTGAAAGAAGCTTTTAAGACCCGGAGCCACATCCAGTCAAAGCAACGACCAGGGACCAAGGAATGTGTCATGGTTTAGACTTATTTCCTGTTTTATTTTGTAATTTTGGGCCCCGTCCCAATACCCGCACTTGCACCCTCGCGCCCCTCATTTGCGGGTTCACGATGATGGGTGCGAGTGCGTAGGGTGTCCCAATTCTCCAGGGAGGTCCTTGGCCCCGCCCCCTTTGCGCACCTGATCCACACTTTGCCGTAGCCTGCATTTAAGCGGACTCAGGCGAAGGGTATAGCCCATAATTCATTGCCGTACACACCTGGACAATGGCTTTGGCTCCGGATCATCCCAGAAAATGCGCATTCAAGTTTAAGTTCATAAACATACATTCTGTGTGTAAATAATGTCTACAATGTGTAATTGGAAAGAAGCATAAATGTTTTTAGATTAATCATGGTGACATGTATTAATGGACATTCAATGGAAACAATTTCATATTGTGCCTGAATTTAAGCATGCATATAACATTCAATTCACACCTTACAATTAGTAAAATGAACTTAGGATGTATAACAATTCACCCGATAAGTTCTTTACCCACATGTAACTCAGAATCAAACGGCTTTCTCAAATTACAAATAACCAACATACATTTATTTTATTGTGTGTGGATCAACCCTTTAACTAGTACTTTTGTTTCCCACAGCGTCAGACAAAATGACCATAGACTTTATTAAGTTGAGGTCTGAAAATGACCACCACTTCACTGGCCACAGGAATGCCTCAACTCAAGGTTATGAGTAAGTGTACAGCTGTAAACCAAGCATTAGTATATATTAAACGCTAACATTTATTGATGTAAATCTCAAACTCTTGCAGTGAAATAATAAAACAAATGGACTTGGAGGGGAGGGTAACGCCTCAACAATGTAAAAAAAAATGGGAGAACCTAAAGAAGAAATACAAGGTAATCCGCTCGACAGAGTAAAGTGCATTTGCATTGTGCTCTAGTAGTATGTATGTATGTTCAAATTTCACTTTTATTTGCATGTATTATCATCAAGGACCAGGGCGAAGTCCATCATGCAGCTGAAGCGGAGGTTCAGGATGGTAGACTACCTGCGTCACTCGCTGGTCCACTCTAACCCAGCCTGCCCTAATCAGCTCATCAACTCCCTGCCAGCTGTGTCAAATCAAGCCAGCGCTTAAAAGCAAAGCAAAGCAGAACACAGCTCATCAAACAGCCTTTCAAGCCGCAACCACCTCCTCCCTACCTCCGCCTCAGGATCTTACGCTCACTTTCACCTTGCTTGTTGCCACCACCAGTGTCTAGGCCCCGGGGGATCATGATCTGCACCCAGGCGCAGATCCCCTCAGAGCACGGCCACAGCCGGGGCCTATGCGCCAAACAAATAAACAAACTCAATCCATAAAATCTCTCATACACATAAAAACTCTTAAAACGCATCTCGTCTCTTGTAGTCTCTCCAGGTTGAATGGGCAACTGGACATTCTACGAGCATATGAATGAGGCAATTGGCCAAAGGCCATCGGTCAGACCACTCAGCCTCTACTCAACAGGTCCGAGCTGTGCTGTGTTGGACCTCAGCAAGAGCACAGATGGAGAGGCCACAGCATCTGCATCAGCTGGGGGTCCACACAGCTCAGAGGGTTCCACAGCAGAAAGTTCCCCGGAAATGTCTCTGCAGATGCCAGGGAGGAAACGCAGGAGTGATGGGAATGCAGCAGAGGCGGTGAAAGAATGGTGCACAAACCTGGAGAAGAGGCATGAGGAAGATGATGCCCGAGACGCAGCCTGGCTGAACCACTCCCAGCAGCAAATGGACAAAATGCTCGACCTGGTCGGCAGACTCGTTGACCACCTTACAAAGTGACATTAGGGTCACGAGTGCAATTGGTCCGAATTATTTTCATTACTCAAAGTATGCTGCTATTTATGTTTGTTATCTGCTTTGTTTTGCACTTACTGCGTTCGTGAAGAAGTAGGCAGCTACATAATATGTTTGGTTTTGCCACATCGAGGTGTGTTGACGGTTTCTCATTTTATTGTAATTGCTACAGATAGTGCCAGTTTCTGTTAAATTAAGGGTCAAGCCATGATCAAACACAAAATAAAAACTTTCTGAGGAAAATGAGAAATGTCTTTTATTACATATTCCTGTAACAAGACAAAAAAAATTATGTCTGACAAACTACATACAGTGTTGGAAGAAGGTCTTGCTATTCTTACTGAAAAGAAAGTATGCATTGTATAATGTAGTTAATGAAATTAAATAAGTACCTATGAATTGTACTTTCCAACACTCTTTTACTAACTATAATCATGTTCAGACAGATGTGCTGGTAATGTCAGTGGAGCGGAAACTTGAGCTGAGAGCCTATCTCGCAGTGTGTTGCCACTTGCTTCTTGTCCTTCTCCTGGGGGTGGTGGCGGCGGTGGATCGTCGTCCTCATTTGGTTCCAAGACATCACCGTGGGTCAGGCAGACATTGTGCAAGAAGGCACAGGCAGTTACTACTCGGGTGCAAAATGCTACCTCGACCTCCATTGCCTTAAACAGAGTTGTGCGCCAGCGAGCCTTCATCATACCAAAGGCTCGTTCAATCACTGTACGAGCCCGTGCATGGCAGTTGTTGTACCTGTGCTCAACTCTGCTCCGAAGTGGCAGTTTGTACGGGGTGATGATGGCTATGGGCAACTGAATGCAGGGATATCCGCTATCACCTAGAATGAAATATCCAGGTGGTGGGTATTCAGCGTTCACATAGAAGGGGCTGTTTTTGAGTACACGCGTGTCGTGAACGGAGCCAGGAAAACCAACAAATATGTTGAGGAATCGTCCGCTGGAGTCACAGATGGCTTGCATGTGGATGGAGTAGAACTGCTTATAACAAAAGTAGTCCTCTCTGGTCTGATGAGGGGGCTTAATTCGAATGTGACAGCCATCCACTGCACCTACAGCTTTGTCAAAAGCTTTGTGGCCAGCTAGAGGTCCAAATCCCTTCCCAATGTCCTCCAAGTCTTCCTGGTTGGGATAACGGATTACCTTGTGTGCCCTTCCCATTATGGCTAGGGCGATTCTGTGCACAACCCGCCAGACTGTTGACTTGGGCACGGCAAAATCTTTTGCTGCAACTCTGTATGAGATGCCATGTGCAAGCCAATAGATGAATATCAGTATCTCCAGTGGATAGCCCCAACCGTGATCCTGCTCCTTCTTTGATAGAGCCATCAAGCCGTTCATAGAACCCCTTGTCAGACGGTAGTCAGGTCGTAGGTCCACATCCGGATCCAAATACACCTGGAGAACTGGCACGGTGGAGTTCAGTCTGGTGTACGTGAGCTGTCCTCTTGCCTGAAACGCATGTAAACAGAAGAATAGATGACAAATACTAATAATATCAATAGAGTAGTTCTATTATCTACACTGCTCACATCAATGTAACAATTGACTTGCACATATCTCATACAGAGTTGCAGCCGGAGCATTGTCTGTGCGGAGGTCAAGAGTCTGCCGGGTTGTGCACATTGTTGTTTTGGCTATTAAGGACAATTCACTAACCACAACACCAATGTGGAACAATGGGAACTACTTTCACATTTGACAAAGATGTGTCAGTGGAGTCTGTCGTCTGTCTGTGGATGATTTATGAGACGGTTCATAAACACATTTATGGACTTATTTATGTAATTATTCATGAACACATTTATAAACATATTTATGAACATGTTTATAAACACATGTATAAACATGTTTATGAACATGTTTATAAACACATTTATAAACATGTTTATAAACACATGTATAAACACATTTATAAACATATCTTTTGGTTTCCCTGGCTTGGCCATAGAGAGTTATGAAGGAGATCCATAAAGTCAGTTCCCATAGCATTGGAATTACCATTCGGATTAACTCTGGCGCTGCAGCGAGAGCCTGGCGTATGCGTCTCCGTCGTTTCCTACGCTTCTTTTGCCTCAGAACGATTGTTTGCTGCAGTTTTAGCAGACTTTTCAGCTGCAATATTGTGAAAATAGCGGTGGGTACTTCCATTTTGGATGTCGCAGATGTGACACAACGCCCCGCCCACATGCATCTCACCTGTTTCTTGTTAGTCTTGTATTCAAACCCTGTGTGTTCCTTCACTTCCTGTTTTGTCAGTATCATTCCACATCTGTTTCAGTTCTTGTCCTTGTTCCCGGTTTGGTCTACCCTGGCCTTAGCCATCCGTACACTCCGCCCAATCATCATCACTGCATGTAATGACTGGGTCTGGTCCCTGGGTTAGCGATTACAATCGGTTAAATTGCGACCGACCAATCAGAGAACGCGGAAGGCAGGTGTTGTAGTTAGTTGTGGGTGACATCAAGAGTTTGCGTCGAACGGGAAGGTCGTAGTTTGGCAATGGCGATAGTAAAGTAATCTGGTCTGGTTCTATCAAGAAATTGAAGCCGGAGCAAGAGTAATGTTTAGCAAATGTAATCGCTAGAATAAATTGTGGCGCTACTCCCCACGGGCTCCGTTAGCGGCAAAGGAGATGGCTAGGCTAAATGCTAACAACAGACTCGGGCGAAATGTTAGTGTTTTATCACCGGTGACAGTGGAAATGAGGAGCACACAACACAAATGAATAACAACTCGATACTGAGTCAAATAAAAATACTCTGGACTAAAGCAGAAAAAATTGTCCAAACCAAGCGGCTACTCCACCTCTCTGTTGCGTTTTAATACTACTGTTAGCTGCACTTAGAATTATGTATTTTTTTTTTTTTGGATGTGTTTCTGCTGCTCTTTAACACCTAGAATCTAAGGAAACAAATCTACAGTATCTCCAAATTTAGCATAATGAAAAAAGCCAGAATTAAGTACAAAATCTCTGACTTTGGCATGATAGAGCAGCAAGTGTGAAATCCTGAATATTCTAGCGCAAGAAATCTACAGCTGTATGTTTACATCTGTACATAATATTACCATGAGTCTCTGGGACAAAGTGACTCTGTAAAGTGACACGTGTGGTTCTGTACTGCACATTCTGACATTATTAAAGTTATGACTCACATAAACTGTATCGCCGAAACATACTTTTTCCATCTTCGCACCATCGCCCACCTCCCCTCCCTCATTCAAGCCACTGCAGAAAGACTCCAGACTGGACTACAGCCTCCTTCTGCCTGCTCACCCACACCCGCTCCATAGAGCACATCACCCCTGTCCCCAAACCACTCCACTGGCTCCCTGTCCCATACAAGGTCCTCCTCCTCACCTACAAGTCCCTCCATAACCTGCCCCTTCCTACCTCACTGACATCCTCCATCATCACTGTCCATCCCTCAGATCCACAGACTCGGACCTCCTCACTCCTTCAGGACTACACCGAGCCTTGGAGGACCGAGCCTTTTCTACAGCTGCCCCCACTCTCTGGAACTCGCTCCCACCACACACTAGAAACTCTGACTCACTACAGAACAAATTACTCCTCAAAACCCACCTGTTCAAAACTGCCTACACTTAACTGTTTATTTCTTAGCTTTTTATTTTTGTTTCTTCTCTGTTCTTCTGTAAAGCGTCTTTGAGTGTCCAAAAAAGCGCTGTATTATTATTATTATCATTATCATTGCACAGATATGTTCTTCTAAAAGACAGAGGAACTGGGCTCTTTGTTGTGGTCCATATTTCAGACCAGACATGATTATCTTCCAGACGGTTTGGGTTCAGACATCAAGAACTCGTGCGTCTGTGGGAGCTGGAGTCAGAACAGTATTGTACTAATACTAATACTTCTGTCTATTGTCAATCAGAGCTGCCACCAGTCCCTCACTGATCCTCTGCAGGTGGTGGGTCAACAAGAAAATGACTTCTCGTTCATCAAAGACATGGCCTTGGTCAGCGCGGGCTTCAGGCAAAGACATCAGTGGGAGTGAGAAAATAGAAAATATATAGAGGAAGATTGAACTGTAATTCTAAATATCCAATTGTCCATCCATCCATCCATCCATCCATCCATCCATTTTCTACCCTTTAATCCATTTCTGGGTCAGGGGTCTCATAGCACCAGCCCCTCACTGACCCTCTGCAGGTGGTGAGTCCACAGGAGGACGGCTGCTCTCTGAGCCTTGATCTTTCAGTGGGGGCTTTGGGCAAAGTGGGGTTAAGTGTCTTGCCCAAGGACACAACGACAGCAGTCATCAGTGGGAGTCGGTGGAGAAGGTGCAGAGGTGGGAATTGAACCCACGACCTTCTGGCCTTAAGGCCGATGCTCTACCAACTGAGCTACTGTCGCCCCAATATCCAATTGTAATTTAGCAAAAAAATTCTAAATTGCGCAAACATGAATTCAATTTGGAGAGACGAGAAAACAAGAAGCTTTTGAGTATTTTATTGGGAGGAGGTTTGGCGCCCTAGGCCCCGGTGCGGCCTTCAGATCGGAGAGGCTCCTGCGATGGAGCGCGCACAATCCCCCGGGACCTAGGCACTGGTGGCGGCATTTGGCAGCGGGGAGCAGATTGAAGGCAGATTGGAGGCAGGGTGAAGAGGAGGAGGAGGGGAGGCGGTGGTTGCAAGGCTTCGAGAAGGCCGAGAGTGGGAGTTTCTCCGCTTTTAAGCGGCTGCCTGGCCGGTACGGTGATTGGAAGGGGGCGTTTGCTGTGCGATAGGCTGGGGATGTGAACCGGCCTGGAGGGGGTAACTTTGGCTGACGTCTACCAAATTGAAGTTCCGCTGGCTGCATTTCAATTTGGAGAGACGAGAAAACAAGAAGCTTTTGAGTATTTTATTGGGAGGAGGTTTGGCGCCCTAGGCCCCGGTGCGGCCTTCAGATCGGAGAGGCTCCTGCGATGGAGCGTGCCAATCCCCAAAAAGGCTGTGAGTTGGAGT